ATCATAATAAAAAGGGGCCAATTTGATTGTTCAAAACTATGAAAAATCTTTCTCTCTCATACGTTTTACTGTACTTAAAAATTTCTAGATTTTATCTGTTTTACTTAACTCATTTATTATTGAAAGTTTTCAACGTCATATCAGTTAGGTAAATACATAATTATATGAATGCCTTGAATATAGCATATACATCGAGACTGGGTGAAGGGTCATGGGAGGGGATGGGGGCTAAGACCCCCACTTATTTTGGAAAGATATATACATCGTATAAACATTGAAAATGCAGCGTACCCTGTTTAGGTTTATTGCTCCCCTCCCCCATTTGTTACCGACACCTATGTATTGGAAAGATAAAGATTTGGACCGAGGGATCTTATAATACCCGTCTTCTCCTCTTTTCGACGGGAGTAAATCAATTAATTTTTAAGGTTAGTGTTAGGCTTAGTTTTTTGAAAGATAAATAACAAATAAAATCTTTCCATGACTAAAATATGATTTTTTTTTTCAAAGTGCGTTAAATGTCTCAATGGTAAAATATATTGATGTAGACTCCTAACGCACTTTGAAAAAAATTTTCAAAGTGCGTTAAGTTGGTCCCAAATTTAACGCACTTCGAAAAATTTTTCAAAGTGCGTTGATTTTGTCCCAATTTTAACGCACTTTGAAAAATTTTTTCAAAGTGCGTAATTTTTTCAAAGTGCGTTGCCACAGAGCGGTAATGTTGACCTCACGAATGTATATACAGTTCAAAGCGCGATCGATAAACGGGTTTATTTAAGCTTGAATTTTTTAAAAAATAAATAATGCTACATTGAATATTAATACTTCAAAAATATTTTTCCTCTCTCCCGTCTTGTTCTTTACACTAAACACAGGGAGAAAGTTGTCTCTGAATTATCTATATGACATCCAGCTAGAGAATACGTTAAAAATCTTATTTCAGCAAAGTTTAACATTCAATTTAGCTAGGTATATTATTCTTATCCAGTTAATTTCAGTTATACGTGTTATAGGGGTACGCATATAGAATTCTTCTTCACTTGCCGTATAAAATCACATACCTGTACACGGAGTATAAAGTTTTCTGCTCATGTAATAAAACATGACTAGAACAAAATAACGTTTTCCTGAGATCAATAAGATGCCAAAGAACCCATTTCAAATCGATAATCATATCGAAATATTTACCGTTTTTAAGTTAAAAAGCAAAAACTTTCGAGCGCCCTTGGCCCCTAATTTGAGGGGCCAGCCCTTTTTAATGATGTCAAATGATAGATCTTAAAATTATGCACAATATTTGTGAAACATGTCTTAACAAATTATTTTTAGTTTAAAAGATACATAAGAAAATAGATGTAAATTTTTTGCGCTTTTAGGCATTCTTATTTTTGACCCCTATCTAGCACCGTTTTGAGCGCAGAAATCGAAAAAGAAAAACCAATGTGCACAACTTCAATTCTTCTAGTACATGTATTTAAATGCAGTAGACATTCTGCTCCAGCTTTTGTCGTTTCTGAGCTTTTGTCTGGAAACAAACAGCACCAAATTTTCATTTAAAGGGAAATAACTCAAAAGCAGAAGGGAATTTTTGAACTGTATAAAAACATTTAAATTGAGTTTTGTAACGTCCAAAAACTCTGAAAATTTGAGCGAAATCCGTTAGGAAATGTGCGAGTTACGAGGTCTCAAAGTTGGCGTCTAGGAAAAAGGAATAATCTTAACCATCAGAATCAGTAGAAGGTCTTCCGCCTGAGCGGTAATAACACTTTCTAGGAACCTTCTGGTAGGAGACTCTTAAAGCCAGTAAGCGGTCATTTCTCTGGTACACTGACCTCTGATGTAAATTCCTGTTGAGGTCAGGCCCATAATACACCTGAGGGAGAGATCGACACAGGAATGTGCAGCACCATGTGTTTTATGTATACACTAATTATCAGGTAGGGAAACAAGGGGAGGGGAGGAGGTGTTTATTTCTGTTACAGCCAGTCTCCCATATCATCACAATTAGCGGGAAAATAACGACTCTACCAGACCACGGAACCACTTCACAATTAGATAGCCTGTGATGCTAAGTCATCAGGTCTGAACTCCCTAACAGGAAATTCTCTGATTAGATAACGTAATTAACTGAGGTCCCCCCACGTTCTTGTCAAGGAGAGACAAGGAACAGATTCCTGTGGACAGACAGTTAGGTCTGATCATTACCACCAATAAATAAATAAAGAATTCACAATTCACTATGTACAAGTTCTCTATTCTCGGTCGACCCTATTCTCAGTAGAGAAAGGGACAGGCAGAGGAGGTCTTATGATAGACTAATCTTAACACAAAAACAAGATTTCATGGCCTGCTCATAGTTACGTTACTCTATCTCAACTGCTGAGTTTGCAAAGGACCAACACCAGGTCAAAAACATGGATTAAATACGATTTTTCAGTAAAATGAAATTATATGTGCAAGTTTAAGCTTTGATCATACAATCATCCTTAATCCTTAATTCTGAAAACTTTTCCCATCAAGTGTCCATAAACCCCGTAGTTGTGATAGAAAATACATGTATCCTTTTATCGTTTAAGGGAGTTTTTATCAATAATCGATGCATCTGCACATCCCCTTCTGTAAACTGATATACTATGTTGAATCTTTTATGATGTGCAGTCCTTTGTGAATGGTCTCTCTCTCATATAAACACTGGCACTATACACAGACTATAGAAATTTACATTGTAAAGGACCTATTGAAAACTAGATAAAATGTACATGTTCAGTCATGTATATAAATTTGTTATAAACATCCCGAACAGTTTGTGCAGCGCGTGTGATTCATTAGGTATCACATGTTTTTCTCCATATATAGCATATCTTTCCATCTGTTAAAATTTTCAGTGTTTACTTTAAAAATCAATTCTCCTCTGTGGGTTCAAGTGTGTGGGTTTGTAATTTTTCTGAATCAGGTATCAGTGAATTTAAAATTGACACGGTTTTTATGTTCAATGGCCCTTTTTTTAGACACACAAAATTGTAATGCGACTTTATGATCGCGGCCTACACTAATCCAATTACAAAATATAAAGCTTACATGCACAGAATTAGTCCTGGCTGTCAAAATGTAGATTATAGAATTTTGTCCTTCAGTCTCCTACTTCATTCATATTGCTAGTAGATTTAAACAGACTTACAACAAGATTTACAACTACTGAATATAAGTGCACAAGGTAATTAATTCAGTAAAAGGGTCTAAAAAATGTTTACTACATCTAAACAGGAATTAAGAAGGGACCATTCATCATGATTATGACTGCAAAAAGAAATATATTTTTACCATTTTTACTTTTCTTAAAAGTTAATTTGTACATTTGAATACACTGACTTAATAATGTTTAAACATGTTAGTTGTGGAACATTGTTGGTCTAACATCCAACCCTTAAAAATAGCTAGAACAGAGCACTTAAAAGACTGCATTATAAATAGAACACTGCTTTGTTTGTGCACCAAAATTAAACTGAACAATATGAGGTAACAAAACGCCCAGGTAACGAAAATCAATTAAAAACACCCCCTTCAAACTAACTCGAGCTGCGTTACTCAATGTTCCCTGGGGATTTACCAACCATTTTTAAGTGCAGGGTTAAATGCAAGTTAATAACTGTCATTAATATTCAGATTGGCCCAAAGGTTCAGTTTCAGTTTCAGTTCAGTTTAGTTTATTCACCCAGACCAATCTATTGGTACATGGGGTATTGTGCATATATATATATATATATATATATATATATATATATATATATATATATATATATATATATATATATATATATATATATATATATACAATATAAACAGAAGGATATATAAGGAGAATACAGAGAGGATTTACACAAAAGACAATTTAAATTTCACACAGATATCATGTAACATCCACATTTAAAATACATATTGGCTATCTGTCCAAATTATCTGTGTCCATGTCATTACCCTCTCAAGTACAATAAGACTATAGAAAACGTAATAATTTCAAGAAGCAAATTTCCTTAAATGTTGTTTATCATGTTTATAGTGTTTTCTTAAATAATGCTTAAATGCTTTATATTATTTTTAGGGGTGGGAGGGGGGAGGGAGCTCTAACTTTGAGATGAGTTGTTCAGAAATAAAGCATTGTGGCAACGCACTTTGAAAAAATTACGCACTTTGAAAAAAAATTTCAAAGTGCGTAATTTTTGGGACAAAATCAACGCACTTTGAAAAAAATTTTCAAAGTGCGTTAAATTTGGGACCAACTCAACGCACTTTGAAAAAATTTTTCAAAGTGCGTTAAGAGTCTACATCAATATATTTTACCATGGAGACACTTAACGCACTTTGAAAAAAAAAAATTATATTTTAGTCATGGAGAGATTTTATCTGTTTTTATCTTTCAAAAAACTAAGCTTAACCCTAACCTCAAAAATGATTTGATTTACTCCCGTCGAAAAGAGGAGAAGAAGGGTATAAGATCCCTCAGAAGTTGCTTGAAGCTGTCCTCTGTTAGTGCCCTCTATACACCTATAACATCTACTTATCAAAGACTAGAATTAAAAAAAGAGGAAGAAACGAATTAATGAACTTAAACGATCGTCACTCTTTTTTTCAATACTCTTTAATTTTCCATTTCATTTTTTCAAAACCTTAAATATTTAAAACGTCAATATCTCAGGTCCTACAGTAACTTAATCATAAAAACGTTATTAAACCAGGATCTGTTATTTATCATACCGATTATTTGAAGGAATTTTGATCAATCTTTACATTTTTTCAAAGTGCGTTAATATGGTCGATATTAACGCACTTTGAAAAAAATATTTTTTTTTCAAAGTGCGTTAGCTTGGTCCCAAACTTTAACACAATTTGAAAAAAAATTTCAAAGTGCGTAATTTTTCAAAGTGCGTTGTAACAAAGCATGACTTTATCGTTACAATAAATTTGTCCATCCGGACCAGATATTAAGCGTTATCGTCACTAACCTTGTCCGTCCTGGTCGCGACACTGCTGTAGCTTCTTTATCACCTTCTGCTGACGACGTCGCTTCATCTCGGCCTCAGGGTTAGAGATGCTTCGGGTAAATCGCGTCTCCGGCATGTATGTATACAGCTGCTCCGCGGAGTTACCCGCATCCAGAATCTTCTTCTCCTTCTCTTTCTTCTTCGCCTCCTTCTCTCGCTTCAACAACTTCCCCTTGAACGTCCCTCCCTGGTTCTTCCTGTTATCGGCATGTGGAACAGTTGTGTCCCCCTGACAGGTAATAAGAAGGTAGAAAAATTAGCAAATACAGTTCTTAATGTTTGTCATGAACGATGGCAGTTTTTTGGTTTTCACTAAAAAATGCAGAATCAATTAAATATCTTCACATAACACAAATGATTTTTTTAACTAATATTTTGTTCTAGTGTTGTTGTTGAACAAATAATGTAAAATATTTTCATGCAATTGATTATCTAACAGGGAAACACCAATTAATAAGTAAAGTTCATGATTGTTATTAATGTCATTGTTTTGTTTTTTTTTCCATTGTGGTAAATATGGTATCCGCATTCAATAGCGGAAATCTTCAGCTTAACATACTCTGAAACATGACTGTCAAAAATATAATATACGCTATCATCCCAATGCACAAAAACAAATTAGCCTTCATAACCATGATAACCATTCACAGTATCAATTAACCATATGTATACATTTTGTTCTTTGTTATGGTTTGGACCGGAGAGAAACAAAAATCAATGGACAACAAGCTGATCATCACTGAGTACTGGGGTGAAGATTCACATCTATTGTGTAATTATGACTTATTTATCTCCTGACAGGCGATTGGTCTATCCGAGGAAACTTAGCATGGCATTACTGGAAATAAATTAAGTTCTACAAGCCTAGTGTGTCCAATTTCTCTCTTCTTGCTGTGTATATAATTATAATACTCTATCTCTGACAATATCATCCCAACAATAAGCTAGAGCAATCAAAATAATCGATAATTGGACAAATATAAACACTAAAGAATCCGATTGAATTCAAGGTCAGACCACTAATTTAGTGAACAGCTTAATAAGTTTAAGCTTTCTGTGTAGGGAATTAATGACAGAAATAGCGGTGGAGTTTATTAGATTAAATATCAAATATTAATAAAAGACAAGCTCAATTACTGAAGTGGCATTGGTCAGTTAATGGTCAGTCCCATTAGTCCCTGACATTTAACTATGTCCACACGTTAATGTCTTTGAGTGACCTTGACACTACATTTTAAGATCGACTGCTCAATAATCCTGATAATGTTTGTCAAGCTGTGTAAATACACTGACATAATGTTATGAATAACACAACAGAATAAATGCTAAAATTAGAGTTTTGAAATTAATTGCATTAAATTCTGATCATAATTTCGTAAGATGTCATTCTGCACTTTGTACAGGTTAACTAACCTCCTAAAGCACCAAGTTAAGGTCTTTACAAGATTGGTCACATCTCATACTGTGGTTTCATCAATATTCATTGAGCACCAATTTTCGTGGATTTCGTTGTTGAGCCGATCCACGAATTCAAATGTTCATTGAATTAAGAATTATGACATTCATTTGTATAGGCAATGCTTTTGTCCAAGAAATTACGTATCCTCGAAAACGTGTATTTTACAAAATCCACGAACATTGATGACAACGAAAATTGATGAAACTACAGTATGAAGAAAAATTCTAACACTGGGTCTATGACACCAATCATCATGATCATTCCTAGCGGTAGACACTTAATCTAGAGACCATGAGATCTAATACTTGTGTTGTAGATTCTCGTTTATATCTCATATAGAAATATTGGATAGTTTAATTATAACAACATGCTTAGATTTCATCATATATCTGACACAATTTAAGTCTCAGTCAGCCTCAATCCCAGGTGTTATAATTCACTTACTCCTGTTTATGTTTATACGGAAAGTCTCTGATATTGTGCTTGTTTAATGTTTATTTCTCTGATACATAAAAAGTATTAAATGAATAGTAACTTCAACAAGGTTCAACATGTTCAACATGATCAAGATGCTTATCATGCTTATTGTTTGATGTCATACTCAATGTACAACACTGTATAATCACACAAAAATATGCATAAATCATGTAAATAATATATTCTTTTGAATAAAGTGTTATTTCTGGTACCAACGGAAGATCTATTAGTCTACAGGTCCTGATATTTTACCTGTCTTTTGAGTAAGAATCTGCCCTCCCTTACGTCTGTACCCCAGTTCAGCTGAACCCATAAGACTCTCTCACTTTCGTCCAACTTCCTCTCCTCTATAAAACATAGCAAAATATTTAATATGTACAGGTTGAAAGTGATCAATGGTATCTGTATAATATTTAACAGAGAAATAACACTTGAAGTTGATACATGCATCCCAATACCCTATCAGACAATCTATCGGAACTATTCACTGGAGTCAACATGCAGATGTAATCAGCTGTGTTACTGAATACAGGACTGGTGTTTATTATTTGACCTGTATAATTTAGAACTTTACATATATTTAGATGATTCTATCCATCCATCATCTATACCTTGTATACTCGGCTGCACAACCAATATACCATGCTCAATATACATGTCTATAGAATAGATGTACCACCAATTCCACATTTATATACATGTATAGATGCACATGATAGACTTGATTTTCTCCAATGAAAAATAGCTTTCCCAAAGAAAAGAAATGATATAGCAGATCTGCTAAAAATACATGTACATTTACATGCTAATGTGTTCACCTTGTATACTTGTGACAAAAAGTGTCCTACCTGACATACGCTAGCATGATCTAAAGGAATTATATTCATAATGTTTATATACATTTCCAAATCTCTTCATTTTTCATATTTATTGAGGCACTTTAAAAATTTACCACAGAGAACAGACAGATTTCCAGTTTTAATCCCTGTTTGATCTGATTAAACAACAGATAAATGTTCTGGATTAAATAGCCATTAGTACAACATTGGGCTGGACTGAGGTGGTAAAGGGCTGGTTTAGGTTTTATGGCTGTCTGGTACAACATTGGGCTGAACTCAGGTGGTAATGGGCTGGTTTAGGTTTTATGGCTGTCTGGTCTGAGAGATAGAGGTTCTGATGGGACATAGACTTAAACAGTTGGTGATCAGGGTGGTGGGAAGTCTGTCTGGTCTGTAAGATAGTGGTGGTGATGGGGAGTGGACCCAGGTGGTGATGGGGAGTGGACTCAGGTGGTGATGGGGAGTGGACTCAGGTGGTGATGGGGAGTGGACTCAGGTGGTGATGGGGAGTGGATTGGGGGTTGATGGGTAGTGGACTCAGGTGGTGATGGGGAGTGGACCCAGGTGGTGATGGGGAGTGGACTCAGGTGGTGATGGGGAGTGAACTCAGATGGTAATGGGGAGTGGACTCAGGTGGTGATGGGGAGTGGATTGGGGGTTGATGGGGAGTGGACTCAGGTGGTGATGGGGAGTGGACCCAGGTGGTGATGGGGAGTGGACTCAGGTGGTGATGGGGAGTGGACTCAGGTGGTGATGGGGAGTGAACTCAGATGGTAATGGGGAGTGGACTCAGGTGGTGATGGGGAGTGTATTGGGGGTTGATGGGGAGTGGACTCAGGTGGTGATGGGGAGTGGACTCAGGTGGTAATGGGGAGTGGACTCAGGTGGTGATGGGGAGTGGACTCAGGTGGTGATGGGGAGTGGACTCAGGTGGTGATGGGGAGTGGACTCAGGTGGTGATGGGGAGTGGACTCAGGTGGTAATGGGGAGTGGACTCAGGTGGTGATGGGAAGTGGACTCAGGTGGTGATGGGGAGTGGACTCAGGTGGTGATGGGGAGTGGACTCAGGTGGTGATGGGTAGTGGACTCAGGTGGTGATGGGGAGTGGACTCAGGTGGTGATGGGGAGTGGACTCAGGTGTTGATGGGGAGTGGACTCAGATGGTAATGGGTAGTGGACTCAGGTGTTGATGGGGAGTGGACTCAGATGGTAATGGGGAGTGGACTCAGGTGGTGATGGGGAGTGGACTCAGGTGGCAATGGGGAGTGGACTCAGGTGGTAATGGGAAGTGGACTCAGGTGGTGATGGAGAGTTGACTCAGGTGGTGATGGGGAGTGGACTCAGGTGGTGATGGGGAGTGGACTCAGGTGGTAATAGGTAGTGGACTCAGGTGGTTATGGGGAGTGGACTCAGGTGGTAATGGGAAGTGGACTCTGGTGGTGATGGGGAGTGGACTCAGGTGGTAATGGGTAGTGGACTCAGGTGGTGATGGGAAGTGGACTCAGGTGGTGATGGGGAGTGGAGTCAGATGGTGATGGGGAGTGGACTCAGGTGGTGATGGGTAATGGACTCAGGTGGTGATGGGGAGTGGACGCAGGTGGTAATGGGGAGTGGACTCAGATGGTGATGGGGAGTGCCGACTCAGGTGGTGATGGGGAGTGGACTCAGGTGGTGATGGGTAGTGGACTCAGGTGGTAATGGAGAATGGACTCAGGTAGTAATGGAGAGTGGACTCAGGTGGTAATTGGGAGTGGACTCAGGTGGAAATGGAGAGTGGACTCAGGTGTTAATGGAGAATGGACTCAGGTGGTAATGGGGAGTGGACTCAGGTGTTGATGGGGAGTGGAGTCAGGTGGTAATGGGGAATGGACTCAGGTGGTAATGGGGAGTGGACTCAGGTGGTAATGGGGAGTGGAGTCAGATGGTAATGGGGAGTGGACTCAGGTGGTAATGGAGAGTGGACTCAGGTGGTGATGGGGAGTGGACTCAGGTGTAAATGGGGAATGGACTCAGGTGGTAATAGGGAGTGGACTCAGGAGGTGATTGGGAGTGGACTCAGGTGGTAATGGGGAGTGGACTCAGGTGATAATGGGGAGTGGACTCAGGTGGTGATGGGGAGTGCCGACTCAGGTGGTGATGGGGAGTGGATTGGGGGTTGATGGGGAGTGGACTCAGGTGGTGACAGGAGTGGGATGTGTTGGTAGACCTGGCTTGGATTTCTCGAAAAAATCTTAAGTTTTTACTCAAGTTCAATCTCAAACTCTGAGAAAAAACTCAGCTAAGATTTTTCTCAAATCACGTTTCTCGAAACAAACTCAGGCAAATCTCAGCTAAGTTTATTTTTCTCTCAACTGAGATTTTTTCAACGCCGCATAAGCGGCCTTGTTCTTGACTTCCGGTTGTAGTATCCAATGTAAATTAGAAATTTTATCAGTGCGCTTTAGCGCACGCAATGAAATTAAGATTTTATGAGTAAAGCTGAAGTAAGGTATAAATATGTAATCTCCCAAGCTTCCGGTATTCCCAGCCTATTTAAAGTACGAGATCTCGCGAGATCTTCCTTCTTCAGAGAGGCTGAGAAAGTAGTAGCTGCTAATATTTTTTTTTTTCCACATCAAATAATATTTCCAAGACATGCACGATACCACACATGTGTAACATTAAAGCACAATAATTATTCTCAACTTATTATTATTATTATTTATTTATTTATTTATTATTATTATTTTTTTAATAAAGAACAAATTGATGCATTTACAGATTTAATTCAAATACATGAAAATCACAAAAGTATAGTCATTCTTTATGACCAAGAAAAACAATATCATAACTGTGCTAGAATAAAAGGTTATGGTACAGATATGTATGCAAAATTTTACAAAGTTAATAAAAATTTCTCCAATGAGACTATTTCAAGTCCTCTTTTAAAAATCGCCACTGGAGACTTCATTCAGAGTTGGTCTGCATGTTTGTCCAAATCTTTATTTCAGGTTCCTAAATGTAAAGAAAAGGAAAGAAAAATTTTATATCACTGATGACAATAATTTTAGGTCTAATAATTAATCAGTGTTCAATGGGAGGGTTGGGTGGGAGTACCTTACTTCAGCTTTACTCATAAAATCTTAATTTCATTGCGTGCGCTAAAGCGCACTGATAAAATTTCTAATTTTTTTTCGTAAAGCTGAAGTAAGGTATAAATATGTAAGTTCAAAGCAAAAAAAAAAAAAATTTTCTTTTCTTCCTTTTTTTTTTTTTTTTTTTTTAAATTAATTTTATTAATCATCAAGTGTCAATATTTTGTCTGCAAATTCATCATGAGCCTCAACAGGCTTATTGTAGAATCTGTTGAAAGTGCCAGCAGATTTCCAGTTGGCCCTAGACATTACCTGGGCCAAAGAAAGTCCAAATTTGAATGCCTTAGAGGTACAAGCACCTCTGGTTGAATGAGCCTTAAACACATTGGTGTCTATCCCTGCATTCCCAATCATTGTTTTTAACCATCCTGCCAAAGTGCATGGTTTTACTCCTTTATGTGGTTTAGTAAAGCTAATGGAAAATTGTTGTTCCCCTCCTCTTAACTGTTCTGTTTTCTTTAAGTATACAATTGTACACATCAAGTTTTCCCCTATCTAATTTTGGGAAATTCACTTTTACTGGTTTGCTATTGACTTTTCTTGTTTTGGTTAACTGTGCTATTGTGAATATAATTTCATCACTTTGAATTTCCATATAACCAATATCAAGTTTCTGAAGTTCTGAAACTCTACTTGCAGAAGTCAGTGCCATTAGGGTTAAAGTTTTTAATGTCAGTTCTATGAGAGTTAAATTTTGATTTTCCCCCAAAGTCTCAATATGTTTAAGAACCCTATCAACATCCCAGGTTTCATTATATCTAGGTAGAGGGGGTCTAGAATTGAAAGCTCCTTTCATGACCTGTTTTATTAAAGGTTGTTGTCCTATTTTTTCACCTTTAACCCCAACGTGAAATGCTGAGATAGCTGACCAGTAATTATTTATAGTTCTGTATTCATAACCCTTATTGGAAAGTGATGACAGGAAATTTGCTACAGATTCCACAGGGGCACAAAAGGGATCAGCTTGTTGTTGATCACACCAGCGAGTCCAGTGTTCCCAGCAGCTGTTGTAAGCTGACTGGGTACCCTGTCTCCAAGCTGCCGTGAGTAACTCTGAAGTTTGTTTTGAAACTCCAAGCATTTCTTGTGATTTCCTGAAATTTTCCAAGCCACTAACTTTAGAGCACCGTTTAGGATCATTGGATGATTTTCCCCCCTTGGCGACATTAACAGATTTTTCTGTGGTGGCAGTAAAATTGGCTTTGCAATTGTCATTTGTAATAGAAGTGGATAAAATGATTGGGTCTGCCATGCAGGCGTTATCATAACTAGTTCTCCCCCCTCCCTCTGGAGTTTTGATAGACATTTTGGGATCATGCAGAATGGGGGGAAAGCATATGCTTTCTTCTCCTTTTCCCATGTTGTCAGAAAAGCATCTGCTGAGAGAGCTAGAGGGTCGTTTTTCCAACTGATATATTGGGGAACCTGAGCATTCCAACGATCTGCAAACAGATCTATCTGGATAGGTCCCAGTATTTTCTTTATTTGACTGAATATTGTAGGATTCAGCCTCCAGCTGTTTATGCTCACTTCCCGAGTATTCCTGCTCTCCCAGTCGGCTATGCTGTTCTGGCAACCTGGGAGATATTCTGCTGTAAGAATGATCTTTTTCAACATGCAGTATTCCCATATTTCTTTCGCAATTGTATTGAGAATATGGGATTTGGTGCCCCCCATTTTGTTCACGTAAGTGACAGCTGTCACATTGTCCATTTTTAGATGTACATGAATGTTTTCCATGGTTTTTGTCAAGGATTTGATTGCTATTACTGCCGCTTTCATTTCTAATGCATTTATGTGCAAGTTCTGTTCCTCTAAGTTCCAAGGACCCCCCATTCTTATCTTGAGAGATGGGCAGTGGAACCCCCACCCCTCTTTTGATGCATCTGTCTCTATTGTCAACTGGGGGCTCACAGTTAAGATTTGTTTCCCATTCCAGTCCCTTAGTCTTTGGACCCACCATTGAATTTCTGTTTTGCATTGACCGGGCAACTCTACAATATTCTGATAGTTCTGAGATCTTATTAAACACTTTGTTTGATGCATTTGGAGTTCCCTCATGTACAAAGCTGCAGGTATTACTGCCTCTACTGTGGCATTTAAGGACCCAACCAAACTTGCCAGTTCTTGTA